TTGTGAGTCGAACTGAGACATTATATCCGTCGAAAAACATAAACGCAAAGTTTCCACCAGTGATGTTAGCCGAGTGAGGCAGTTGCAGACCAAGACACGGGGTGATGCGGAGTAGTTTACTGTAGGAGGCTGTACGAGAGGCGCTACGGAGTAGTTTACTGCAGGAGGCTGTACGAGAGGCGATGACAACTGACATGCATCGTGACGTCGGTTACCAGGGCAGTGACGCCATTACAGTGTGACGTCATGCAAATCTTGTACTACAGTACAAAACTCTTCCGCAACCTTTTTATGAAACCGGTTTCGGTTTGAAACCAAAAAATAACAAAAATACGCTATTTTGTCAATTTAATGCATGGTCAGATAACAGGAAGGTCACTCGTTTCGTATAATTCGTATGTAATGAGACCTCGTGTAGTATTCTCTATATATTCCATAGCACAGCGGTACCACAGATTCGTCGATAGCGATAAGAAAAGCGACAAAGGGAGACAACTGAAACACATGCACATTGAACAATACATCAGATTGAACAATACATCAGATTGAACAATACATCAGACTGAACAATACATCAGACTGAACAATAAAGATATACATCAATAACAAACAATTTTCCCTTTCAATTGTTTCACTTAGATAATGAGTTTGTAGTTGGGATTTAATATAATAGATATGTTTTCCCCCTGAGAATGAAAAGTACATGTTTAACATTTTATTTTGAAAATTAGCCTATTTGTCTATAAGACAAAGCAAAACCCCTTATAGCTGTACGACGAAATTCGAAGACAGTGATGAAAGAGCAAAATAGCTTAAAGTTCAAAGTATATATCTACGTGCCCTTCCATAACACGCGTCCATAGCCTGTCACCGTTCAATGGTACAGCGCACACGTTTAACACACTTGACTTCATAATAAACTATGTGAATTAAGTGCAATATCAAATAAAGATTAGGATAATGTGTTGTAACTTAATTCAGCTTAGGAAAACATAGCGTTACGTTTCTAAAATACAGACTTTGAATAATATGTAAGTAGAAGTAAATACACATTACTGAGATTTTATAACCTGACAACCTATAAACCAGTGTTGTGAACCAACCTGGTGACCACTAGGGTCAGACTTCACATGTTCAGCTCTCAGAACGCAATGGAAACACAAGACCCCACGAGGTATACGGGGATCGGTCAAAAAAGTATTCTCGATGTCCAATGTTTGAAAAGCTTCTATCTTATTTTGAAGGAATTATTAGCAAAGCCATATACAAAATTACACATATGTGGTTAACGAGACATTAGTCATCACAATACATTGGGGTATAATATTTCTAAAAATAATTGCAGAAAATGAAAAACGATCTGTCATTTTATTACGTATACCTCTTGGATAATGGCATGTCCTCCGTTAATATCATATAAACTATGTTCAGTATAGTGTTGGATGAATTCACGTCATAATCAACATTCAAAGATTTGCATTGCTTGATTTATATTTAAACGGGGGCTGTTTTTTTTTAAGGACACCCCATTTTCGTCTTTCAAAACCTTTGTGTTCAGATATTCAAGCTGGCCCTGTTTACAATATATTGAGAGCTAACACCTGTGTGACCGTTAAGTTTGAACCCTTGGCACCATGTATGAATAAGTGAAAACATTAGAATAAGTTATGTCCTTATGATTACATCATCTGAAAGGGGGTGGGTAGTAACTTCAAAACAACCTCTTTCAGTGAACAGGAAGGGAAGTCACTTTAACAAGCGATTGTTAGTTTCAAATTGCTTTTTTATGCACTTTAATATATAAGCTTGATTCTAGCGGACTTCTACCTATTAAAACACACTAAAGGTTTCTTGCATATTTTGTTTCGTGAAGTGTGTGTATTTATTGCAGATTTTGTGTTTTTTCCAAGTTTCATCAGCAGGAAACACACACTCCGAAACTTCGTGTTATTCAAAATAAAGAAGTTGACATACATAAATCTTGCTTTTCTTTTAACAACAGCTGCATTTGAATGATTTTCTAGGTGAGGCCGATTACTTTTGACCGACCCACGTAATCTTATTGAAGCAGATGCCAATCAAAATAAATCCTCAATATTATAACAAAGATTCCCATTAACATGAAATGCACGTGATATGCATATTCATCAACCTGGCCTACACAGACAACAGGCTAAGAGAATACCATGAATAATACTGTTTCCAACAAAACTGTATAACACAAACATTGACATTTTAATAAAACAAAATCCAATATATAAAATACAACGTGACACGTCACTGCTACACACTCCCCTTGTTTCATGTTTCCTTCTGTCACTAGCAGATCGACGAGGTAAAGTTTGCTCTTGAACTTTCGAGTGTTCTGATGCCACTTTCAGCCTCACTGATGTCCACAATTTCTACTAGAGTTGCCTGTGCCTCAGTTACTAACACTACATGTTAAAAAAAGTACTTTTTATCCCCCGCAACGCGTTTTGTGGGGGGTATTAAAATGGACCCCGTCCGTGCGTGCGTGCGTTCGTCCGTCCCTTCCGTGCACATTTGTCTTTTCCGGAGCCGAACTCTAAAACCGTTCAATATGTCTTTACCAAACTTGGCACATAGATTGGTCTGGTTGTGTACTGGTGCCTTTTGGTAGTTTTGGAATTCTGAATAAAACATTTTTGGCGTTTCCATGGCAACAAGTATGACTTAGCCTGAAATTGGTGGTAGTGCTCTTTTCCGGAGCTGAACTCTAAACCCGTTCACTATTTCTTCACCAAACTTGGCACATAGATTGGTCTGGTGGTGTGCTGGTTCCTTTTTGGTAGTTTTGGAATTCTGAATAAAATATTTTTGGCGTTTCCATGACAACAAGTTTGACTTTAACAGAAATTAATGGTAGTGCACTTTTCCGGAGCAGAACTCTAAAACCGTTCAATGTTTCTTCACCAAACTTGGCACATAGATTGGTCTGGTGGTGTACTGGTGCCTTTTGGTAGTTTTGGACTTCTGAATAAAATATTTTTGGCATTTCCATGGCAACAAGTTTGACATAGACTGAAATTGGTGATAGTGCTCCTTTCTGGATCAGAACTTTAAAAACCGTTCAATACTCTCCTTCCACTTTTCTATATACACACCTAAATATTTGACATAATCATAACTCGTAGACATAATCATGAAGAGTATTTTGCCATTGCGGGGGATATTGACGACTTTGTCTTCTTGTTAGTTTTGCAGTCTCGGTTTCTGTATCAGCAACAGTTTCTGGGACAGTCATCTGAGATCCTGTCTCATATATCCATCCATCCATTCCCCCCTTTACCCCATATCAGATTCCTGGTCTTGTCCAACATCTGGATGATCGTCACCATCCCGTTGAACGTCTTCCATATCATTCAGCTCAGGTGCAACTCCAGTGGACACTGTAGGTAATCCATGTGCAGCTGAGTCTGTACTCAAGACAGGGACTGTATCAATAGGAACGAGGTCATCATCTGGACAGGTGGATTCAGCTTCAGTAAAATCACTCTCAGACTCTGACGTATCCTTATGTATACTAGGTATAGACTGATTATCTTCCCGACATAGTAAATGTCCTGTCTGCAACAAGTGTTTGCGATGGAGAGTGCTTGTCCTACCATCATCCAATTCAGGTGAAACCACATATACAGGGATTCCAACGATTGGTTGATCAGTGACAGTATACACCTCCTGCTTCCATTTGTCTTACAGCTTGTGTCTCTCATGATGTGCTACAACTTTCCCCAGCACCTATCACCTATCTGATCCCAGCTCCTCTAGCTTTCTGGTCATAGTTATTCTTGTGATTTGATAGTTACTTCTGATGCCAACTCGTATGCTTCTTGAAGCCGCTTACGCAATGTCTTTGTGTATGATAGTAGTTATTCTTGTGATTTGATAGATACTTCTGATGCCAACTCGTATGCTTCTTGAAGCCGCTGACGCAATGTCTTTGTGTATGATAGTAGATTTCCATAGCCTGGATTCCTATCAATCCCCAAAGCAATGTCTACTGGCAAACTTGGATGCCGACCATATGCGAGGTATATCCGGTTGATTCGTGGTTTGTGCAGTTGTAGGCATGAACAAACGGTCCCACATGGGTTTTCCAATCTGCCTTCTTGTTAGTGTCCAATGTTATAAGCATATTCATCAACGTTCTGTTAAAATGCTCACATTGGATTATATGCAGTGGTACGCGATTTTTCCATTTCCATGCAAGTTCTTTTATCAGTTTACTTTCAAAGTTTACGCCTTGATCTGAATGAATCTGACCTTACGACTGGAGCCTGCCATACCCAAGTTGAATATCACAAGATCTGACAACTGAACCTTACGACTGGAGCCTGTTATACCCGAGTTGAATATCACAAGATCTGACAACTGAACCTTACGACTGGAGCCTGCAATACCCAAATTGAATATCAAAAGATCTGACAACTGATCCCGTCGCAGTTGCAGTCATGACATTATCACTTTAACTCTCTATGTTAAAACCCCGTTAATGTGAACCACGGTTACTCAGTTGTCTTGGTTATCGAGTCCCAGCCTAACGATCTCCTTTTAATTTTCTAAGGTCGTTCACAAAAGGGCAGGACAGAATATGATAAATCTGACCATAAATACTTTAAGCGGTAAGTCAGATTTTCACAACCGATAACATATTTGTGATGTGAAGGTAAAATCAATCTACAATAATTAGAATTCATCTACACGAATTAAACATGGGGAAACAGGGAAATTTGTTCAAATTTATAACGTTGCTTTTCAAAACAATAGGACGACATCGCCTACTATGTGTCACCTCACCCTTGGTAAATTGCCCAGTAATACCCTCTAATAAGCCACAATCATTTCATACTGTTTGTTGACTGAGAACCACACAGATGCCATCTAACATTCCCTCACGCTACACCACACAGTGACACACAGGATTCAACAACCCATCTGTTTCTAGATATACTGGTATTGAACTTGTAACAGCTGCTGCCGCGAGGACCGCCAACTTTAGTCGCCCATCAGCTCGGCCGCCATATTGGCTTCGGTAGGAACACAAACGTCCTCTGCACACCGAGAGTTTCCTTCATGGCATGGCTGTTGTTGACTCGGGATACTATTTGTGGTGCACGAGAATGACGGATCTGCTGAACCCATTATTGGTTGGAGACACGTCTTCCACATTTTCGGATATTGCCGGAGAAGTGAAGGTAAGTTGGAAGTGTTGGGTAACATCAGTTAGATTGGCTTGGAAGGATGCAATGACATTTTGAACATACCTGTAACAAAGTGAAATGCGACTCAACATGTTTCCTCAAATACATCCGCCATTGTCTATCAGATGAGCAACGTTAATAATAGTATCTCTTTTGCTACATTTGGCCGCATCTGTGTCTACATACATGGTACACCACATAACTTGAAATCTGGTACCTTTGTTTATTGACACTGAACTGAGAAATACTCCAGCCGACATTATCTGAACCAGACAGTGAATTATGTCATGAGCAACGATCCACACGAGGATCACACAATCAACATAGCGAGTCCATCCGATCTATTAGGTCACCTCTGATGACCAGCATAGGTAGCTGAGGATTCGAACCCGGAAACCGACTTTGATGAGTGAAACGTCTCATTCAACAGGACATAGGGTCAGTTGTTTTGTCAGTCGTAGCCAATATATTTTACATTTCCCAAATGGCAGTTTTGTGGTTTGCTAGTTTATATTATGTAAAATACTTATGAAGCAGTTTGCAGAGAGACAGTGTCCCGGTGTTATACTTGGTGCTGAATACAAGGTGTAGACCCAGTCACCCTTCAAGGACAGGGATGGGTTATGGTGTCTCGCGGTGTCAAGGTGTAGATACAGTCACCCTTCAAGGACAGGGATGTGTTATGGTGTCTCGCGGTGTCAAGGTGTAGATACAGTCACCCTTCAAGTGTGTTATGGTGTCACCCTCACCCTTCAAGGACAGGGTGTTATGGTGTCTCGCGGTGTCAAGGTGTATCACCCTTCAAGGACAGGGATGTTATGGTGTCTCGCGGTGTCAAGGTGTAGATACAGTCACCCTTCAAGGACAGGGATGTGTTATGGTGTCTCGCGGTGTCAAGGTGTAGATACAGTCACCCTTCAAGGACAGGGATGGGTTATGGTGTCTCGCGGTGTCAAGGTGTAGATACAGTCACCCTTCAAGGACAGGGATGTGTTATGGTGTCTCGCGGTGTCAAGGTGTAGATACAGTCACCCTTCAAGGACAGGGATGTGTTATGGTGTCTCGCGGTGTCAAGGTGTAGATACAGTCACCCTTCAAGGACAGGGATGGGTTATGGTGTCTCGCGGTGTCAAGGTGTAGATACAGTCACCCTTCAAGGACAGGGATGGGTTATGGTGTCTCGCGGTGTCAAGGTGTAGATACAGTCACCCTTCAAGTCAGGGATGGGTTATGGTGTCTCGCGGTGTCAAGGTGTAGATACAGTCACCCTTCAAGGACAGGGATGTTATGGTGTCTCGCGGTGTCAAGGTGTAGATACAGTCACCCTTCAAGGACAGGGATGTGTTATGGTGTCTCGCGGTGTCAAGGTGTAGATACAGTCACCCTTCAAGGACAGGGATGGGTTATGGTGTCTCGCGGTGTCGGTGTACAGTCACCCTTCAAGGACAGGGATGGGTTATGGTGTCTCGCGGTGTCAAGGTGTAGATACAGTCACCCTTCAAGGACAGGGATGGGTTATGGTGTCTCGCGGTGTCAAGGTGTAGATACAGTCACCCTTCAAGGACAGGGATGGGTTATGGTGTCTCGCGGTGTCAAGGTGTAGATACAGTCACCCTTCAAGGACAGGGATGTGTTATGGTGACCCTTCAAGGACAGGGATGGGTTATGGTGTCTCGCGGTGTCAAGGTGTAGATACAGTCACCCTCAAGGACAGGGATGTGTTATGGTGTCTTGCGGTATTTGGGTGCAAACAGCCCAGACTCATAGGTGTGCAGTAGAACAAGGAATAAGATGACTTAATGCCTCATGTAGGGTCAAACATGCATGTTTTGTGCTCGATCTCTTAAAGCCTGGTGGCTGATTTCACTGCTCCAGGACTTGTTGACCTGTCCCACCAAAATATCTGCTCATCACAGAATGGACATAAGACATATTCAACATGTTGGAGTATGACAGCATAAACAAAGGGGGTGGGGTGGGGTATGTGTGTAGTTCTAGGACGCTTCGGTGTAGATGCTAACACTATTGTTCATCCCACCAACTTCTAAATGCAACTCAAAGAAATAATGACAACACCGTTTGGGGATTTTCTCCCTTGTTGATCTAACATTGACGCAACTGAAGAATGCAACATGTGGAGGTGCAACTCACTCATTGTGTTCTCAGGTGCGATCTCAGCGAGGAAAATATTTGAACGTATCATAATGATGTGTCAGAAAACTGTGCAACTGATGTGCAAATGAAATACGTGCAGCATCTTTGCGGTTTGTGACCTACATGCATAATGGTCTTCATCATCACTATCATCAATAGTAGCTGTGTCACGCTCATCACAATCATCACTATTATCAGCATCACATTGTCATCACCATCATCGTCGTCGTCGTCATCATCGCTGTTATCTGATAACTATACAGACACTCCGTAATTAACCTCAGTGTTAACAATGACTGCCCCAGCTTCCTGTGAGTCTGGGTGTCATGCGGGAGTGTGACCTACATGGGAAATGTCAGGACTTCAGCATGGTCGCAGATGAACAGTAGAGGTTCCTATTGGACGATAATGTTAATGCTCAGTCTGATAATACCCAGATGAACAGTAGAGGTTCCTATTGGACGATAATGTTAATGCTCAGTCTAAAAATACGCATGCGTACCTGGAGTTATGGGTAATAAGCTATTTTATTATGTAATGGAGGGTGTTATCGGTGCAATAAAGCAATCTGATAAACTTGCTATCCAAATCCGATAAATTTGCAAATCAGGTCAATACACGAATTACAATTTTTTTGTTGAAAACTGCCCGACTTTGTCGTTCTTTTTAGTCAGATAAATCTTATTTTAAGCAAGAGTTTGCACTATATCAGCGACTAGTCACAACCATATGCCGCCGTGGTAAACGAACTTTCACCTTGGTGTACAGCTAACTATAGTTTGGCATGAAATGCATGTGGACCCGGTTTTTTGTAAATATCTCTTCATCCAATGACCCAATCGATCTTAAACTGTGCAAGTGGATGTTTTTCAGACAACCTAATCACATTGTAAATCACCGATTTTATGCATTTGTATTAAAGAATCTGTCTATGTAACTGTCAACAAAATAAACAGCAGAACGCAGAATGCTTGCAGAGGGAGGGAGCCAATGAGCTGTAACAGCGGCAGTGTTTAGGTCTATTAGGTCTAATGTTTATTGAACTTGTTCGTACATTTTGTTCAATTATTGATCTTTATATGACAATAGGTTGTGTTATCTAACCCCTCAACACATTGTTTTTAGTGTTTTCAAGTACTTCAGTGGGACCCTGAATGTGTGAACTCTTCCTACAGCAGCGGGGGCATCCGTGTCCCTGGACACAATTTTTTCTTGTTCAATTTTCTGTTTACACATAGCAATATCAATCGCCAAAACGTAACAATATTCAAGCAGTATTTGCATCCATTTCACGTGTAGAATGATTCTATAGGGTATAAAGAGAGACTAGAATGCATGATATGATACACAAGTACGAGGAATATGCCACGATTAACAGCTAAAGAGAGAGAATGAGCCTCTGGGATGGTGCAAATGGGGTCGACATACAATGCTGTTGCCAACGCCCTCGGATGCCACCGTATCATATATTAGGAATAAAACATATGTATTATGCTCGCCAAAGGCTCACAAAATATAATTAGTGCTCCTTATATATGATATTAAAGATAGGGAAGTTAATAATCTCTATTGATTAATACATTGCCCTCACTTAACGGATCATTATTGCCTGGCTGATTACATTACACATAGCTGACACGGTTTGGGGTTTATTATACATAATGGCCCAGTCATTTGTTATTGCTGGCACATGTATTCAAGACTGCGTCCTGGAAGCTATTTCTTTCAAAGTTCAACATTCATATTCGGTAATCATAGATTTCCTATCATACGACATACGACATACGAGTAATGAATTTCGTGAAGTGAAATGCACGATACTCCTTTGTGTCCGAAATATAGACACAAGTTGTAAATCATTGCATATTACACTAATAATTGCATATACATATATTGTACTTACATTATAATTAGTTTATAAGTAATAGATGTACTAGTAATTATATATACATATATTGTACTTACATAATAATTAGTTTATGAGTAAACACACAGATATCTGTTTGGTTGGTATTGTTGGTCTCGTGCTACACAATCAGCCGGGGAATCCCCTGGTCGTCAGCAGTCGGCTATAACAAGCTGGGAACATTGGGGACATATTGTACCACATTAATAACGTCAATCATCAGAAATCAGCTTTAATACCCCTTCCTATGTTTCAGATATATGTTGTATATATCTAACGAGGGCACGAAACACAGCAGTGACATTAGCTTCGCAGCGTTCAATCGGGAGAGAAAGTATGTGGCTTCTTTATCAACGCGACGATGAAGATTTATGTCAGGGTCATTAATGAAATACCGTATCTAATAAATATAAATAATGATGTTATTAGTTTTGCTGATAATGTCAGACATGTTTATGACGATGGATTATGCGGTTATATGTTAAATGTGACATTATGACTGCCTTCATTCATAAACATGAACTCCAGGGGCTTCAGAGTCTGCTTGAAGTAAGAAGATGGAGCGGAAGACATTGTAACGTCAGTATTCCTTCAATGGGACTGAGGACTGTGGGGTAGGGTTAGACATACACGTACACTCCAGGGGCTTCAGAGTCTGGTTGAAGTAAGAAGATGGGGCGGAAGACATTGTAACGTCAGTATTCCTTCAATGGGACTGAGGACTGTGGGTAGGGTTAGACATACACGTACACTCCAGGGGCTTCAGAGTCTGGTTGAAGTAAGAAGATGGAGAGGAAGACATTGTAACGTCAGTATTCCTTCAATGGTGGGTAGGGTTAGACTGATGACTGTGGGGTAGGGTTAGACATACATTGTAACACTCCAGGGCTTCAGAGTCACCCAGGGGCTTCAGAAGTAAGAAGATGGAGAGGAA